TATCTTGCTGCAAAGAAACACTTCGGTCGGGATTTCCTTTGCATCCGATAAATGAGTCGTCTTTGTTATTGTAGTTCGTTCTCCTGATGATGGGCCAGGCCGGAAAATTGGGCATACGGTAATGTAAAATGAAATTTGAATTTGAAACGCAGTGAAGAGACCGTTTTTGGAGTTTGGAGTTGAGAAGCGAAGTTTCCTAAAAGTTCGTTCTCCATTATTTCGGTTTTCAAATCATGAAATTTCTGCAGTGCCATGAATGTGACAATGTTGAGCTTTCAGAACGAAACGGTGATTTTTCTGATGAAGCGTCATTCGACGACTTGACCGGTCGCAGTATTGCAGTTGCAAGTCGAACAGGGGAGATGTCACAAAAGCTACACCTACAAAGTCGCTGCCAACTTGTTGAAAACTCTAAAGTGCTCGAGAAAACCCTTGCCTTTGCGTGTTGCGTGATTTGGAAATGATGGCTTGAAACACCGTCAGAAGTATATTTGGTTCCTGCAATACTCTGCTCTTTGCTACCTTGTTATTCGGAAGAAAAACCCATTTGGATTTGCGAAATACAACAAACAACATCATAAAATCACTACGAGCTAGCTCGTAACTCGTGCCCAAAGAGACTTTGAAACCAGGCAAGTGGACATTGTTTACCGTAGGAAAGCGCTCTTCGCGCCACGGTGTGAGATGCACTTTCGTACAGTGGGAGTGACAGTGCATGGGGTCAGTGCGTACAGGCCAGCAGATCTTGCACAATGCGGTGGGCATTTGCAGCGGACTTTACGGTACACAAACACACACACACACACATACACACGAAAAAACACACACACTTTTGGACCAGACATAGTAGTTACAACAATGTGTCCTGTTTTTCTTGTGTATTATTCGCTGTCTGTAGATTTCTTCAACACGGTTGTCAAGAGCAACCTACCACAGATCATCGCCAACCTAGCGACTGTACCAGATATAGTGCTCACTGAAGTATTTGGAGAAGCCGACCTGGCTGAAGAGTTTATCAGCACTTATCGAACGGCATGTGAGGCGGCCGGTCATGTACGTGATCTTCCACTTTGCTGTCAATCATCAATTGGGGCGTCTTTACTGTACCCAACGTCCGGCTTTGTGTTCCTCTTTTATGACTCACGCCACCCTGATCTCACTCAACGACTGGATAAAGATTTCCTGATCAAGATCGACCGTGAGGCAGGATGTGATCGGAGTAGTCTTGTCCAACTTTTGACTTTGGCTATTGATTCACAGAGAGAGGGTAAGTGACAATTTGAAGACTGCGATGACGTTAAAGAATGACCATGATGGTGAATCCTAGTCAATGGATGATGCTGGTCTTTGTCTTAGTGTGCATACCAGCTGAAGGTTATATGAAAATACAGTTGTCTTCTACTAGCCTGTCTAAATGATATTTTCTGTGTTCCAATTTGTTTAGTATACGTTATGTTCTAGCCTTGGTTTCCATTGTGAGGAAAATGAGGAATTTTATTGAAATCGTCCATACCTAATCATAATGACACTTTCTCCCAGTGACTTGACTTGACACTTGACTGACTCACAACCGCCATCCTGATCACACAAGAAGTCCATTGAACTTTCGAAGTCGGCGGGAAAGCGCTAGCTTCAGTGTTGGGAGCAACTCATGTTCTGATGAAATGATCGCCAAAGTCGCAAACTCTATTTCATAGCATAGTAAAGTAGCCTAAAACCTGCCTGTCATGTTTGTGGAAATCACCAGCATATTGTTTAGTATTGTCAAAATGCCAATTTTCTGAACTTAATGTACCGGCAATCCAAGCAATACTCGTAGAGAATTCTATTCTGATTCTTCTGATCTCATTTTCATATACAGCAGGTACCGCAATGTCAATGATGAATGATGAAGGTGTGATTGCAGTGAGAGAAGGACCAGGAGATGCAGTTGAAGGTCAGTACTGTCCTTGTAGTGGTCCTCCATTAATGCACGGCCCTATTTTAGGGGAATGCATACTCAAAGTTTGTCAGCCCGAGCCTTACGCTCGCATTCCAGCGCAAGCTTTACAGCGTCCTGTACATTAGGACTGCCTTTCTCAGCGCGGCGAAAACTGAGCGTCCATAGAGTTAACGAGGAAATTCTCAGCCTGACAATAAATCCCACTGAAAATTTGAGCGCTGTGGAAATCAGTGCCCACAAAGTCAGAACAAAATACACCAGTGGTAGAGAAAGGCGCGCGGTTAAAGGGGAAGTTAAGCCTAAAATCAAAATTTCACCAGTTGTAGTCTTCAGGGTGCTGAGTCGAATGGTATTGGTCCGAGGAAGCTGAGACACTCCCTTCCTTCTTTATTCCCAATCGAACTCGCGCACTTCCACCGAAACTGGGTGATTGCGCCCTACTAGATGGCGATTTGTATGCAAAATGTCACTAAAAGCGCCATTTCTTTCTTATAAAAGCACGGGTGACCAGGATAGGCCCATATGTTGTACACTTTTGGACGCTGAGTCGACTGGTTTTGGTCCGAAAAGGCTGCGATGTAGCGTTCGGCCCCTATTCCCAATTGAACATGGCTGAACAAGCGGTCACGTACTCCTGCGTGCACCAGTCACCTGGTCACCGTGCCTGCAGGCTACAACTTACCGCATGTTTGGCCGAGTTTCTGTCACTCGAGTTGAACCTTTGAACTTTTGAGTTGAACCTCGGTGTGAAAGTTGTCGCCTACTGGCATGGTGACTAGGTTACTGGTGTACGCAGGAGCACGAGACCGCTTGTTCAACCATGTTCATTTGGGAATAAGGGCCCAACGCTGCAGCGCAGCCTTTTCGGACCATAACCAGTCGACTCAGCGTCCAGGAGACTACCACATATGGGCCAATCGCGGTCATCCGTGCTTTTATAAGAACAAAATGGCGCTTTTAGTGACATTTTGCATACAAATCCTCATCTAGTAGGGCGCAGTCACCCAGTTTTGGTGGAAGTGCACGAGTTCGATTGGGAATAAAGGAGGAAGGGAGCGTCTCAGCTTCCTCGGACCAAGACCATTCGACTCAGCACCCCGAAGACTACAACTTGTGAAAATTTGATTTTAGGCGTGACTTCCCCTTTAAGTTAGTACAACCGGATTCAGCCGAGTGATCATTGTTATTTGTGTGTCACACTCAATGGCATAACACACTTTATGGCCGGTAAGACCATGGTCGTACCTTGTTTTCATCCCACGTAGTCTGCCCAATTCATCCAAAAAACCAGTGAAAATTTCATAGGATCATGCACTTCTACTTCGAAGTACAGTAGATATTGGTTATAACGTGCCCTTCTGATTTTTCACATTTTATCACTATAACCGGTATCAAGAGTCCATAACCCAAGAGTATGCAACTGTGATTATGGGTGCATGCGTGGCGCGCTGCCTTCATTACGTAACTTGCCTTCATCACGCTCTGAAAGCATGCATTCAAACTCTCAATTTCTCGCACGAGCCCATCCGTTTTTGCTCGATTCGTTCCAGTACCTACACAATCTCTGAATTCTGGCGCGTGAACTCCACTTCCGTACGAAAGTTCATTTCAAACTGGAGGGAAAGTGCGGTGTTTGATTTTCCGCAGTGCGCGGACTGCAGCTGAATGATGTAATGAAGGCAGCGCGCCGCGCATCTGGCCCATAGAAAAGAGATCACAGTTGCATACTCTTGGGTTATGGACTCTTGCCGGTATATCACTACATGCGATTTTCAACTGCGCTCGTCTTACATACACATTATACACGTGTGGGTACTCGATTGCGCTAATGTAGCGTACTGATACAGGATGCATGCTGCTGCACCTTCCCCAGTCTAGAGTGAAGAACCTCTTGGACCAAAGGCATCATCCAGGAAGCATCAGACCAGAATACACTATGAAAACACACGTGTGGCTCCAAGTCGAGACATCAATGCCTCACACTCGTGTGTTGCTATCACTATAGACGATATTTTTCTGCACAAAGAGGTGTTTTGAATGGTGATTCTGTATCCTTATAGCCGATTTATCACTATATCCGATATATTGGTTATAACGATAATTTGACTGGCTTTTTCTGGTTTTGCTTTTGATATTTTCATTTTGTATCAATATAGCCGGTTTATCACTATGTCCGATGACTTTATAACCGATATCCACTGTACATGCACTTGTACATAACTTACACTGTGCACATAACTCACGGAGTTGACTTGGAGTAGATCAGGGTATGCATATGTGCCCTTTACTGGTACTGTTCTGCCTGGGGCCCATGATTGTTGCCAGTAGACTAGTATACCGAGTACTAGGCAGTTGTATTTAGTGCCGGGTGCTATGTGCTATGTAGTTACATTGACTGTTGCTGGAGTGTCCATGTAAACATGGTAGTCTAGATGTACATGTATGTCTTCAGCTCACACACACACTCACAGAGTCACAAAGACAGTATACTATGCAACGAACACCTAGCCTACAGGATACCAGTTAATCTTCTATGGTAGATGTATGCGGTGTTGACATGTCATGTCGGCATGGAGACGGCCTTTCCATGGTAACTGGAGCTGCGAAAGAACTGTCTGCTTGGCTTACTTAGGTTGCGTTTGTTCGGTTTGTTCATTCCGCCGCCGCCATTCCAAAGTCATTCCGCCGTGTTTTGGTTCCGGAGCGTTTGTTTGATGCACTGGACAGCGTTTGTTCGGTGCCATTCCGCCACCATTCCAAAGTCATTCCGCCGTGTTTTGGTTCCGGAGCGTTTGTTTGATGCACTGGACAGCGTTTGTTCGGTGCCATTCCGCCGCCATTCCAAAGTCATTCCACCGTGTTTTGGTTCCGGAGCGTTTGTTTGATGCACTGGACAGTGTTTGTTCGGTTTGTTCATTCCGCCACCATTCCAAAGTCATTCCACCGTGTTTTGGTTCCGGAGCGTTTGTTTGATGCACTGGACAGCGTTTGTTCGGTGCCATTCCGCCACCATTCCAAAGTCATTCCACCGTGTTTTGGTTCCGGAGCGTTTGTTTGATGCACTGGACAGCGTTTGTTTGGTGCCATTCCGCCGCCACCATTCCAAAGTCATTCCACCGTGTTTTGGTTCCGGAGCGTTTGTTTGATGCACTGGACAGCGTTTGTTCGGTGCCATTCCGCCACCATTCCAAAGTCATTCCACCGTGTTTTGGTTCCGGAGCGTTTGTTTGATGCACTGGACAGCGTTTGTTCGGTTTGTTCATTCCGCCACCATTCCAAAGTCATTCCGCCGTGTTTTGGTTCCGGAGAGTTTTTTTGATGCACTGGACAGCGTTTGTTCGGTGCCATTCCGCCGCCATTCCAAAGTCATTCCGCCGTGTTTTGGTTCCGGAGCGCTTCTTTGATGCACTGCACAGCGTTTGTTCGGTGCAATTCCGATTCTGGTCGCGGAATGAAGGGGCAGAATCGATTCTGGCGATTCCTAAGAAAAAGTGGAATGAAGTCTCATTCCGAGCGGAATGAAAATGCGCGGAGGGGCTTCGTCGCTGCTGCATACTAGTACCTCTGCAACAAAGCTTCACTGACCGTGATTATCGATATAGTATGTTGTTGGCGGACATTGTCCAGGGTAGAGGCTGGTACTGTAACCTCGGCATAGTAACTTGTTCGTGGTATTTTGACCCTTCGCTGCCGCGAGATAGTGTTCGCCCGGGATCGTTGATGAACTGGAAATATACCCTCGCACCTCAGCTCTTCATCGTCGTCGAGCAGGGCCTCTAGAACCACAAGGAGGCAAGCCAGAACTATTTTTCGAGCCAAAAACCCAAGACCCAAAGAGGCACCGAGCTTGCCACTTCACTTCTTCTTACAACAGTGCCTCGTATCTGCAAAATAAACACAAGAGCTAGAGACGTTTCTGTGACTATACGAGGTCGAATAGCATGATGAAGTAGCGGCCGAAAGCCGCCTGCAGGCACCCTAGTTATGGGCGCTCGTTGATCTACGCCGTGTTTGGCCGCTCCTTCACCATGATTGTCGTCGGGACATGCAGAAACTTACGGAAGCAAATATCAACTACCAGGCCTGGCATGCAGTAGTCTTCGCAAGGCTGCACTGACATGCAGTAGTCTTCGCAAGAACTACCAGGACTGGCATGCAGTAGTCTTCGCAAGGCTGCACTGACATGCAGTAGTCTTCGCAAGGCTACACTGGCATGCAGTAGTCTTCGCAAGGCTTCACTGGCATGCAGTAGTGTTCGCAAGGCTACACTGGCATGCAGTAGTCTTGGCAAGGCTACACTGGCATGCAGTAGTGTTCACAAGAACTACCAGGACTGGCATGCAGTAGTCTCCGCAAGGCTGCACTGGCATGCAGTAGTCTTGGCAAGAACTACCAGGACTGGCATGCAGTAGTCTTGGCAATGACGCAAGGCTACAAACAACAGGTAATAGTCCTACTCAAAAAACAAACAAAAACATTCGACCGTCGTTTCGTTTCCAGAGTGGCGCAAAACTTTTGCTAGATTCCCGAATGCATGCCGGCGCGTTTGTTTGCTACGCTCATTCCGATTCAGCGATGGGTAACAACGTCATTCCATGCCCATTCGGGAATGACCGAACAAATGCAACCTTATTTTTCTGTTGTGGTGAATCAATGGAAGTACGAAAGGGAGGAATACCCTACATAATCAAATTATAGATATGAGAAATGTCGCAGAGCATGTGATTTCAGCAGACGTGTCACATGGTTGGCAGACACTGGCTTGAACAGTGCAAGGATAAGAAGTGCTATGGAAATGTTTTGCACTGACACTCAGTGCATGACCACAGATACGTAGCGTGGTCTGCTACGTATCTGTGGCTGAAATAGGAATATTCTGGGTGTTCTAGACTAGCTAAACCCAATTCATCTTGAACATCTTTCCCATTTTCTTCAATAAATTCTTCCTCATATCTACATCACATGTATTGTGCTTTGTTCTGGTGTATGTGCATTGTGCAGCTGATAATGGCCAGTACGCAGCAGCACTAAGTGAGCTGATCAAGGAAGGTGTCCAGCTGATACCGTACGGGCGCCTGATAATGTGCGGGCCGGGCCGCACAGGCAAGAGCAGCTTCCTGCGATCCCTCCTGCGTCAAGCATTCATGTCAAACGTCGATAGTACCATCGGTGTGGAGCTGGAGAAGGTGATATGCACTATCGAGAAGCAAGGGTTAAAGTATGTCTGGAAGCAAGCTGAAGATTCTTACCAGCAGCAGTTGGCCCTGACGCACAGAGCTGTTGGACAAGAACAAAGGAAGAAAGAGATAGTAGCAGCACTGAGACAACAAGGTGTGGAGATCCCAAAGAACACCAGGTCCACATCCTCCATGCCATCAACACCCGTGGCATCATCATCCGCTGTGATTGCGACTGAGCAAGCAGATACAGTCAGTGTGTGTGAATCTGCTGTCAGCCAACAGGATGAAGCCACCCACACCGGGTACTCTGGTCAATCAGCTACCAGTTCATCTGAAACCATGGACTCTCAGAATGTTTCCACTGCATCCAAGCCGGAGGAGGTCTCAACCATGAGTGTACAACAGGTAGCAACAGCAGAGCAAGATGTGCAGCAGCTACAGATGGAAATCAACTCAGCAACGCAGAAGTTTGAAGGCTTCATTGAAGATCTGAAGAAGGGCAAAAGTGAAGTTTTCACTGCAGAGCATCTGAAGAACCTGACATTCATAGATGTCTGGGACTTTGCTGGTCAGAAGCTGTTTGCAGCGATCCAACACATGGTCCTGGCCTGTGATCGATGTGCATATGCTGTCGTCTTTGATTCCTCAAAGAAGCTCCAGGACAGAGCGAAGCCGACGTTTGGTGTAGACGGTGAGGAACTGCCGCTTTCCAACAGCCTGGAGCAGACCAACTTTGACGTCATGGAGACATGGTTCAACGCTATCCACGAGGTCATTGGAGACAGCGACAACGTACCCGTGTTTGCCATTGGCACACATGTGGACAAGTTACCAAAGAAGCCAGAAGCAAGGAAGAAGGCAATTGAAGAGACTGAGCAGTATATCTGGGCCAATGCGGAGGGTAAAGCTTATGCTAACAACATCGACAAGGTGGTATTTGTGGACAACACACGAGCTGGCAAGGATCCGGAAGACCCAGCAGTTGTTCAACTACGGCAAGACATCATCCAGCAGCTGCAGCATCAGTTCAGCGTTAAAATTCCACTTCGTTGGCTTCCTCTAACCATCTCCATTGGGCACATTGCAAAATCATTCGAACGACCATGGTTATCGGTTGACGAGCTACGTCGCTTGGCTATTGCTGTTGGTAGCATCTCCAGTGATGATCCTGAGTCAGATTTCCAGAAGATGGTGAAGTTCCACCATGGTCTTGGTCATTTGCTTCACTTTATTCACAATGCCCGTCTTCGTGATCGTGTCATCATCGACATCCACTGGGTTCTGAAAACCATGTCACTTCTCTTTTGTCCTGAACCGAAGAGTATGCAGAGCAAGCGTCTTCGTCCACAGTACGACTTGCTGACACAGAATGGCATCCTCCTGGAAAGTCTTGCCATCCACCGCTGGTCGCAGCACAATCGTATGACATCGCGCTACACGGCCACAGAAGAACAGCGTGACTTCCTGTTTGAGATGGGTGAGCACTTTGCACTGTTCTACAACACCAAGACAACTGTGAATGTGCCTGGTCAGAGGAAAGAGGTGACGACTCGCAAGTTCTTTGTACCAGCTCTGGTGGAACGAGTTGCACGTGTTCAAGACGAAGTGAGCAAAGGCAAGCCAAGTCCAGCTATGTACCTGTACAGTGGTGCAGATCGTTACTTTCCACAAACCCTATTCTGGTGTGGTGTTGTGAGGTGTATGCAACGCTATAGTCCAAAGGTGGATCCCATCCTCTATCACACGTCAGCACGTATTCTGGTGAAGGATCGTTTCTGGCTAGTCATGCAGTATTTCCAGCATGGCATTCGCCTGTCACTGGAGATTCCTGTCGCAGCTGGCACGACTAAGTCTTCTTCTACCGATGCTGGTACTCGCGCGGACAAGTCAGTTTGCTCTCCTGGCGTTGGTACTGCAGCAAGCGAGGACGAGTCCGCGGCAGTCAGGATTTGTCATGAGCTTCTACCGTACCTGGAGTCGGAGCTCGACAAGCTTAAAGCATTCTCCCTGACTCATGTGAAGTTTAGCAGAGCTGTTCGCTGTCCATGCTCGTTCAGTCGAGATGCGTGTCGCAAGCACAAGCAGAAGTCTTGTGTAGAGATCGGCTGTCAGCACTTTGCTCCATTGGTGGAGGGATTGCGTCCACGTTGTCCTAGTGGAGCACGTCCAGAAGTGGATATCAGTGATGTACGGCAATACTGGCCATGTTTCTCTGAAGACGCGCAGGTGAGTACACCATAGATGGGTATTGATATATTTAAGAGCACGGCTCGCTACTCCAAAGGGTTTGTGCCGTTACGCTAAACGATGTAGTGTGTGGTAGAGTTTGTATTCATTTGACATTGTTCTATTGGTAAGAGAAGTAAATTGTGCTAAGTGATTACTTCAGTCAATAACGGATTTGTCATGTGGTGCCGTGAAATTCTGCCGTCACATTACATTGCACTGCAGACCACAGGGAATCATGAAATGCTGCATAGGATTGAATCATAGGATAACATATTCAAGGTAAACAGTCAGGGGAAGTGACCTGCCAGAATAGTGAAAATAGCAAACCCAACCAGGACTTGAACCCGGGACGTTGCTTATCATGATCGATGTTCTAGCCATCTGAGCTATGGGACCAGGCCAGACCCTAGAAGGCGCTGAAAACAATTTTCACTCCAAAGACAGCAGACAACTGGTGCCTCACATAATGATGGCACATATTGCATATGTTATATGTAGGCCGTGACCTCTGGTCGGTTGAGTTGCTATCAGTACGTCAGTACGTCGTCCCTACATCATCTTTGTCTAGCTTTATGACGTTCTCCGCTTGTGTATAGTAGGGCTGTGTGAAAAGTAGTGTTTTGTGTATTCAGCAACATGCGATTAAAACCTATGGCCAAGGGATTCCTGCAATTAGTACAAGAAGTAGTTGAGTGTTCACTTTGCTCCGGCCAATGCCTTTACTCGTGTCTGGCCAGAAATTATTCAACCATGTTTATCTCTTTGGCCGCAGTTCGCGTTTTTGTTTGTGGCCGGATAGTTGATTTCCTGTGATCTGGTTATCTTTGATTTTCAGACTTTGGAACGTTCAGATGGGAAGCTGGATCAGTCTGACCTTGACCTGGAGCTTGTGACTGGAGATGCTGCTGCAGAAGCCAAAGGTAATTTTTAAAACTGCTTAGTTATTTTTTCTTATAGTCCGCAAACTCAACGCAGCCACTTACACTTGTACAATACTTCACTCCTCAACTCCAAAACGGCCTCTTGGCTGGAAATCAAATTATATAACCACCAAATTGTCGTTCCTGACCACTCATCAGGGTGGCTACATAAAATGAATAACAAAGATGCAAAAGTAGGGATTCACTGGCCAGAAAATGCCACTTCATAGCTTTGTGGTGTAGACCAGGCTGAGTAGTGGCGGTCAGTCCTTCAGCCTTGCAAGCTGTTGAATGGTGCAATCCCATCACAAGTTGCTATGGCTTCTGCTGTCGCATCGCTATCATCGCCTCTGGCGATGGGCGTCAAATGGTCAAAAATGGTGCGTGTGTGTGTGTGTGTGTGTGTGTGTGTGTGTTGGGAGAGGGAGAGCTCAGCAGAATTTCAATCGACAGATGCGAAGACAAAGTTCTAAGTAGATAGATGGAGTGCTACACTGTCTAACCACAGGTACAGAATTCCAGAATTACATTTGCAACACCTGTGGCTGGCTATGCGTCTGGCCAAGGTGTGGAGCTTGTATGCACGGTACTTGCAACACCTGTGGCTGGCTATGCGTCTGGCCAAGGTGTGTCGCTAGTCCAATGCACAGTACTTGGTCTGACTATAGGTGTTTTACATTTGTGTACTCTTTCCCTCGTTGGTAGGGTTGGCTAAAGTTCAGCAGGTAACCTCGGGCACAGTGGCTCCAAATACTCGTGGCATGCGTAAAGTCATCGATGAGGCTACTCTTAGCAGCACAATGACACGCGTACGCCGGATCCGCATCGGCCTCATCGGCCAGTTTGGTAGTGGCAAGACAAGCCTGGCTGACTCGCTAAGGGGTGAAGAATTTCGTCCAGACAAATCCAGCACTCCATTCCTTGAAGTGCATCAACATGGCCTGCGGCTGCGTGATGGCAAACTTCAAGAATGGGGTTTCTCGACTGCTCATCTAGAAGTATCTCGGCTCATACGCGATGCGGAGACACCCACAACTGATCGTAAACGATGGCAGGATGAGAATAGAAGAAAAAGTGAGGAGCGGAAGTCTGAGCAAGAAGCCAAAGGCAAAGTTTCTCATGAGGGTCGTCCACCTCATACATCTGGAAAGCAGCATCAACCAGAACATACACAGCTTGCCACTTCTAAACAAGAATTCGAGGAGGTAAAGGAAAATGAAGGTGAAGAACCTAAGAGTGCCACTCCAAGGAGTAATGGACAAGAAAAGCCAAAAGACGAAATTCTGGATGATGGGTCAAATGATACCGCCCAAAAGAGTGTTGCACCAGCAAAGTCAACAACAGTCAACAAACCGGATGATCCTGAGCTAGTCAGCGCGGGTGAACTCACTCAAGGTGTGATCAACGAAATCATTGCCAACAGTGAGCTGATGCGGAATGTGGGAGATGAAGAGGTGATCATGTCCATGTGGGACTGTGGTGGTCAGTCAATCTTCTCCAGTCTGCAGCACTTCATGTTGAGTGAGAGCTTTGTCATCTATCTTCTTTGCTTCGACTCCGTTGAATCCCTGCACTTGATCAAGCCACAAGCCTTCAGACCTGGAGAAGCTGCTGCCCCTGAGGTTATCGATGTGGCAAAAGAACTGGAGAACATCGACCACATCCGCCACTGGTTGACAGCAGTTCACTTCGCAAGCACAGCTGACAGCGCAGCAGTCCAGCAAGACCACGTCTCCTATCCGCCAATCATCATGGTTGGAAACTTTGCTGACAAACTTGACCCAGATCTGAGCTTGCAGCAACACAAAGACAAGATCTGGAGCAATTTGTGCAAGCTTTGCTGCAGATCACCAGTATTTGCAGCCATGCAGCCTACCTCCGACGGTATATCAACGTGCGATGCCAAGTCCTTATTCCTGGTCAACAACCGGGAGCCGAGTGCATCACCTGAAGTCCGTCAAATTCACACGAAAATCCAGGAAGCCACGTCGATTGTCCTAAAAGGGAAGGAGATGCCCAAGTCATGGGTTCGCTTCGAGTGGATTCTACAGTATCTCAACCAGGTGTACAAGGAGAAAGGATACACTAGTCATGAATGGATGAAGACGATGGTAGCTGAGGCATGCAAAATCCAAGACGAACGCGAGCTGGAGGAGCTACTACTGTTCTACCACAGCATGCGTGTCATCATCTACAAACCGACCAAGAATCCGCCTCAGCCAGATGACCTCATCTTCTACAACGTGCAGTGGCTTATCAAGCAGATCAACCGATTCATGTTTGGTAAGAAGTACCTGAAGCATGAATTTGGCAAAAAAGCGGGTAGCTTCTATGCAAGCTTCATGGAAGAAGAGGAGGCGATAGATCTTCACAACAACCTCTGGCAGAAAGGCACAGCAAGCATGCGTCTAGTGAACATCACTCTGGCCTCCATCCCACCCGATATCCGTACTAAGGTAATAGGCGTGATGGTTGACTGGGATCTGCTCTATGAACTTGGGAGCAACTCCAAGCGCTATCTCGTGCCATCAGCCCTGCACAAGCAGAACCCACAGAAGATCGAAGCTGCACTGGACAGTTTCAGCATGGAAGAAGCGAAGATCGATAGCATTCATTTCTCTACAGCTGATACACCATTGCTCATTGCTGTGGAACCACTGAAGGCCCTACATGAGGACAGCATGCTCCCTGCGCCAGCCACGCCGATGCCACATAGTTCCTACTTCAAGCTACTAGTGCGTCTCTTCAAGAAGTGGGACATCAGAAGCATCAACACCAGCCACTGTGAGCTCACGTACAACACCGCCAGGCTAAGGCTGCCTAATGAATACCTCGACTTGGATGAGTTCAAGGTTGGCCACGTGGAGATCTTCGTGGCTCACTACGAATCATCAGGTGCATTGCTGGTGAGCCTGAACTTCCAGCATCCTCTCTGCACATTTCAACCCGGTCATATCAGCACGGCAGACAAGAGGCTTCGCTCGATATCATCCATCTGCCAACAAGTCTGCAAGGACATAGTTGCGGAGTTGAAAGAGCTTCCGTTCGTCACGACATTCTCTGTGCCACTCGCCAATGACAATGTCTGTGGATGCCAACGTGATGAATGGTCCGACCACACTACAAGATGCCGCGATCTTGGATATGCACCGTGGCGCGTCCGTTTTGCTGAGCAGTCTACCGACGTTGCAGCCAGCAGTCACGTCATGGAAGCTGCTTACCCGGACGGCAATCCCTGCATTAAATGCAAGCAAGATATCCAAGTTCCCAACAACTCGCATTGCTGGTTCAATGACACGGAGTTCAAGGTAAGAAGTTGATAGATGTCTCCTGTTTTCCTGAGTGTGCAATGAATGTTTGTGCCCGTGGTGGTTTCAAACATGCTTGATCTTCAAGGAAGCTACACTAATCCGACCCCAAGTGCAGATGTTGGCATCATTTTGCAGCTTTACCTGGAGGTCATAGGTCTGGAAGTAGCACAAGAGCTCCTGGGTGCTAAGAATCTTTAGTCTGCACTCTGTCTGCATGCAAGAGGTACTCTGTGTGGACAGAGATTTTACACAACTGCTTTGAATACTTGTACAATGATGTGTTGGAACTTATTCAGGGCACCAGCTTGAAACTTAGGGTTGGATGTCACCAGTGTCTCAATACTACTGCAAATTATGTCGACTTGAGAGTTTGAGATGGGCGGCAATTGTTGATTGGACTTTTGTATTGTATTGGGCACTGCTTCAGTGACTGATTCTGCATCACTGTCTGTTCTTTTTGAAACTGTTGTGCACAGCTGGAAGGGCGGAGTAACAAGGATGCAGTAGTTGCCATATCAGTAAGTGTTCGATGCTTTCACACGTGACTGGACAAGGACATTACTATTGCTTTCACATGAGTGGCACCATCGTCCATTGATTTCTTATTGCTTGCATGGTGACTGACACACAAGCAATGCTCATTGCGATAGTATGTAACTGTGGGATACTATTGCTTGCTGTATGTGAAGTGGTGGATATTCCATGATATAGATATGGCAGATTGAAGGGAAAGCAAGTTTTAGCAGTTGGAACTCGAGGAATGCTGTGATTGTCAAGAGGCAGAATGTTCCATTAAAAGGACTCTCGAGCGGATGGACAGGTATGCCACCTCTTCCAGGTGGATGGTGGTCGCCATTTTCCTGAGCCGTGTTGTGCGAGCATTTTTTTCCGGATAGCTGCACACCAACCGGCATGGCAGTGCATCGCATGTGTAACGCTAGTACTATCAAAAGCACACGGTTTCGAAGTTTTTCATTTACAAGGAGGAGAATAAGACAAAGGCAGTGCAAGTATGCGTACAGCTTACGATGAACACCTACGGTGTACTATTTACAGTCAACTTCGCTTATAACGACACTCGGCGGGACATCAGAAAACTGTCCTTTTTCGCGAAGTGTCGTTATACCCGAAGTCTCATTATAATTATGTATTACAGTTTGATGGGACTTTGCTCTGGGCATGAAAATTCTGTCGTTATTCGCGAATTGTCATTATATCCGCAGTCGTTATTAGCGAATTGTCGTTATATCCGCAGTCGTTATTCGCGAATTGTCGTTATATCCGCAGTCGTTATTAGCGAATTGTCGTTATATCCGCAGTCGTTATTCGCGAATTGTCGTTATATCCGCAGTCGTTATTCGCGAATTGTCGTTATATCCGCAGTCGTTATTCGCGAATTGTCTTTATATCCGCAGTCGTTATTCGCGAATTGTCGTTATATCCGCTGTCGTTATTCGCGAATTGTCGTTATATCCGCAGTCGTTATTCGCGAATTGTCGTTATATCCGCAGTCGTTATTCGCGAATTGTCGTTATATCCGCAGTCGTTATTCGCGAATTGTCGTTATATCCGCAGTCGTTATTCGTGAATTGTCGTTATATCCGCAGTCGTTATTCGCGAATTGTCGTTATATCCGCAGTCGTTATTCGCGAATTGTCGTTATATCCGCAGTCGTTATTCGCGAATTGTCGTTATATCCGCAGTCGTTATTCGCGAATTGTCGTTATATCCGCAGTCGTTATTCGTGAATTGTCGTTATATCCGCAGTCGTTATTCGCGAATTGTCGCTATATCCGCAGTCGTTATTCGCGAATTGTCGCTATATCCGCAGTCGTTATTCGCGAATTGTCGCTATATCCGCAGTCGTTATTCGCGAATTGTCGTTATATCCGCAGTCGTTATTCGCGAATTGTCGTTATATCCGCAGTCGTTATTCGCGAATTGTCGCTATATCCGCAGTCGTTATTCGCGAATTGTCGCTATATCCGCAGTCGTTATTCGCGAATTGTCGCTATATCCGCAGTCGTTATTCGCGAATTGTCGCTATATCCGCAGTCGTTATTCGCGAATTGTCGCTATATCCTGATGTGTATCTATATTCATTACGTCATAGTTGTACTGCATGCACGCACACACACGGATTAGTTGAGTGTGCTTCTTTTTCCTGTTGTTCTTTCTCATGACATGTTTTGTTTCTGTTCCCAAGTCTTCACGAATAAATAGTAACGTATCATGGCGCAGTGAACTTGTTCTTTCCTGTGTCCGTGCCTTGTGTCCGCACCTTGTAGTGTTTGCACGGGCCCAGTTGTTTGTTTTTTCCGTATGAAGTAGTAGTTTCCGCGATCGAAACTCTCAGGTCTCAGTTGAATTATTTTAGTAGTGTATTTGTTCGTACTCGTGGACGAGTGACTAATCGTAATGGAACAATCACAGGACGATACCGGATTTGACCTGTCCTCCGCGACCGAGCGACAGCAGGAATCTCAAATGGGTGTCCTGATGAAATTTATGGAGCAGCAGATGCGTGCAGCTGAGGCTCGTGATAAGGCGATGCAAGATCTGTTCAAGAATGTTCAGAGCAGGTCGCTATCACCATCGCAGCCTCAGTTCACTCCGCAGCCCTCAGCACTAGCTCAGTCCACCTCGCAGACCTCAGCACCACGGCCAGTGAACAGTGTTTCCTGCCCACACTTATTGTCGTCTGCGACGCTGGCTGATTTTCACTCCTTCGTTGAAAGCTGGAGAGATTTTAGTGTTTGCCAGCATTTGGCCAGCCAGGCTCGTGAGGCCAGAGTGGCAACACTCCGTCAGTGTTTCGATGAGGAGCTGCGACGTTTTATCCGAGAGGATATTATTTGCATACCAGCTTCAGCTGACGTCGACCTGATGCTGGAGCGCATTCAGGCGTATATCAGACGGCAACGTAATCCACTGTTGGACCGCATTGAGTTTTACCAGCGTGTCCAGCAAGCTGGAGAATCATTTGATGCGTTTTACACAGCCCTGTGTGAACTACAAAGTGCATGCGACTTCTTGTCACACAGCCTATGTGGAACGTGTGATGCTCGCTGCTGTGCGCAGTGCAAAGGCCTCGGCCGTACCCTCAAGGAGGAATCTCTGCGCGACCGCGTCGTCATTGGTGTGCGGAACGATGAGACGCGACACAAGTTGCTCGCAACTCATGGTCTCACGCTCGACCAGGCTGTCACCCTCTGTCGGACGGAGGAAGCAGCATACCACACCAAGGCACACATGCCCAGTCCTGGCCTCCAGGCAAGTGCTGCCAAGCAGTCGGCGTACAAGCAGCAGAAACGTCACAAGCCAGCTGACTCTAAGCCAAGTGAGACATCAAGTGCGACCAAGTCCACTTGTCCAAATTGTGGTCGTTCTGACCACACGAAATCTGTATGTCCTGCCAAGGGCAAGAAGTGCAACTCCTGTCATGGCATTGGGCATTTTCAGCGAATGTGCAAGAGCCAGAAACAGCCCAAGACTAGCTCTGCTGCCAAGCTTGGACAGCTGAAGCTACAGCGTGCGTCTCGCGTGGACCGTCGCACAGTACCTGTTTCGACCATGCTGCAAACAGAGGATCAGCCATCCCAACTGTCCTGGACACCAGACACAGGCAGTGACGTTGATGCCATTGGCGAGGAGCACCTCACGCAGATCGGTGGGTTCGTCGAGAACTTAGATGACGACCACGACTGTGTGCAGGCTGTGACCGGTGAGCCGCTACGCAACCTGGGCAAAATACGTGCGACTCTACGAGTCGGTGAGACGCAGCATGAAACCGTCATCCATGTGTACAAGGGTCTACACGATGCCCTGCTGTCTCATACCTCATTGCGTGCGCTGAAGTTTCTCCCACCTGATTGGCCAGTCCAATTCACCGCTGAACACGAGGGTGCATCTTCGCCCAAGATCTGTGCAGCTGTTTCGTCATGCGCTCATCCTAGTGATGCTGAGTTAGCGCGGACACGTGAGCAGCTCCTGCAAGAGTTCGCTGACGTTTTCTCGGATTCCGGTCTGAAGCCAATGGAAGGTCCGCCAATGGAAATTGAGCTACAGCATGATTCTAAGCCTTCCTGTGTGCACACTGCTCGACCAATACCGTATGCATTCCGTGACCAGATCAAGACTCAGCTCGACGGCATGGTCAGCGACGGGATTATTGAACCAGTGACGGAGCCCAGTGAATGGTGCCATCCGATTGTCATAGTAGACAAGAAGAGCAGCACTGAGAAGCGCCTCACAGTTGACTTCAAGCGGCTGAACGACCAAGTCCGTCGTCCCGCGCATCCCGTACATACGGCACGTGACGTTGTCTCTGGAGTTGGCTCTGCTAAGTTCTTTACGAAGCTCGATGCAAGGCATGGCTACTGGCAGATTCCTCTCAGTGACACTGCTCAGGAATTCACCACGTTTATCACCCCGTACGGCAGATATCGTTATCTACGGAACCCGCAGGGTCTAATATCTGCTGGGGATGAGTTCAACCGGCGCACTGATGCTGCGTTCTCTGCCATCCCGCGTCTCGGCAAGGTAGTCGATGATTGCCTAGCGTACGACGACGACTTTCTGTCGCATGTCAGCCACGTGCGCGAGATTCTGCTCTGCGCCAGGGAGCATGGTATCACGTTCAGCCCCGCCAAGTTTGTGTTCGGTACGCAATGTATCCATTTCTGCGGCTACAACGTCACGCCTGATGGCTGGGTCGTCGACGATGATAAGACGTCCGGTATTCGCCAGTTTCCAGTACCCGCCAACAGAACCGATCTCCGTTCGTTCCTCGGTCTAGTGAACCAATGTGGCGAGTTCACTCCACATCTAGCCGAGTTGACCAATCCTCTGCGTGGCCTGCTCAAGACCTCCCGTGAGTTCATGTGGGACGCTAGCCACACTGCAGCGTTTGAACGGACGCAGGAAGCTCTCTTGTCCCCTCCGGTTCTCGCTTTCTATCAAGTTGGTCAAGACCTCCGGCTTGAAACCGATGCATCCGCTCTAAGAGGTCTCGGATTCGTGCTTTGGCAAAAGCAGAATGATCAGTGGCGTATTATTCAGTGTGGATCCCGCTACCTGTCTGATGCTGAAACACGTTATGCTGTCATCGAGTTGGAAATGCTCGCTGTAGTATGGGCCGTGCGCAAATGCCGCATCTACCTGTCTGGTGCGCCATTTGAAGTAGTCACCGACCACAAGCCCCTGATTCCGATCATCAACTCATATTCGTTGGATCAGATCGAGAACCCGCGTCTTCTACGATTACGCCTCAAGCTCCAAGCCTATCAGCTGCAGGCATCTTGGCGAAAAGGTTCTGAAAATGCCTTCGCCGATGCGCTGTCCCGGAATCCTGTTGGCATTCCTTCCACCACTGATGAGCTTGGTGAAGCCCCGTCGCTTCATTGCCGCAGCATTCAGATCTGCATGGTGCACTCGGACACTGAGCCGAATGCGAATCTCAAGGTTGCAGAGCTGCGCGAAGCTGCAGCTGCAGATGCCATGTACCAGTCATTGATTGAGTGTATCTTGACTGGATTCCCTGATCGCCAGCAGAAGTTGCCTGCTCCGTTACGTGCGTACTGGAATGGACGTGAGCATCTCTCCGTCGACCATGGCATTGTGATGAAGGGCAACCGCATTGTTGTTCCTGAATCATTGCGTGCTCAGGTATTGCACAACCTCCACGCTTCACACCAAGGCCTAGTGCGTACTAAGTCTCGTGCGCGTCAGCTTGTATACTGGTCCGGTATCACCAAGGACATTGATACACTCGTTCGTTCTTGTCCTGCTTGCCGCGAACACCAGTCGTCCCAGCCAGCTGAGCCCCTGCTGAACGACCGAACCCCAACACTCCCGTTTGAATGTGCATCTGCCGATTTGTTCACTTGTCAAGGTCACGACTTTCTTGTGTATGCAGATCGTTTGACCGGTTGGCCCTGTGTCGCGCGTACTGGCCGCACCACCTCATCGCATGACGTGATACTAGCATTCCGTCGCTGGTTCTCTGATGTTGGTGTTCCTGCTGTGCTGTGTACAGATGGTGGTCCCCAGTTCTCCTCGCATAAGTTTGCTGAGTTTTGTAAGCGCTGGCAGGTAAACCATGTCATGTCCTCTCCCCACTACCCGCAGAGTAATGGGCACGCCGAAGCTGCTGTCAAAGCCATGAAGCGTCTTATCACCAAGACAACCGTGAATGGCAATCTTGACACAGATGACTTCCGCCGAGGGCTACTGGAATGGCGAAACACACCTGGCTCCTCTGGTCAGAGCCCCGCTGAGCTCCTATATGGCCGCTCTCTCCAGTCATTCGTCATTGCACATTGGAAGGAGTTTGATTCATCCTGGCTCTCCAAAGCGACGACACGTGATGAGACTGCCATGCCATCCGACGATTCCGTCACAGACAAGTCGTCAACTCGTCGCTCGTTGCCGCAGCTCCGCCTCGGCACCCACGTGGATGTTCAGCATCCGCGCACCAAGCAGTGGTCTATTCGTGGGGTCATTGTTGCTGTCGGTAATCATCGGGACTACCTAGTGAAGTTGCCGAGTGGTCGCATTTATTGGCGGAACCGCAGATTCCTGCGTCCGTATCGCCCACTTGTGCCTGCACCGCTTGTTGTCCAACCGGCTGCTGCTGACGCCTCTTCCCCGCCGCCGCCGTCCCGCCGCAGCGCACGTCAGCGCAAGCCACCCCAGCGTTTAAACATTGGTTCGCATCATGGACAGTCCTATGATTGACACTCTTGATCACTAATGTCAATTTCTGCTGTCTCTGCTTTGTTGTTTTCATTCTTCATTTTGTTTTATTTATGATAGATGTTGCTGTCACAGGTTTCGCAACATCTCGAAGGGGCGTGATGTGTATCTATATTCATTACGTCATAGTTGTACTGCATGCACGCACACACACGGATTAGTTGAGTGTGCTTCTTTTTCCTGTTGTTCTTTCTCATGACATGTTTTGTTTCTGTTCCCAAGTCTTCACGAATAAATAGTAACGTATCATATCCGCAGTCGTTATTCGCGAATTGTCGCTATATCCGCAGTCGTTATTCGCGAATTGTCGCTATATCCGCAGTCGTTATTCGCGAATTGTCGCTATATCCGCAGTCGTTATTCGCGAATTGTCGTTATATCCGCAGTCGTTATTCGCGAATTGTCGTTATATCCGCAGTCGTTATTCGCGAATTGTCGCTATATCCGCAGTTGTTATTCGCGAATTGTCGTTATATCCGCAGTTGTTATTAGCCAAGTTGACTGTACGTGTACACTGATTACGGGTGATAAAGTGCCTATACTACACGTCATGTAGTACTTGCCTGGCTTTCATGCAATGTCATGTCATGACAACTACTATCGGCTTGCAGAGTTCTTCCAGGGAGTGTACAAGTACGAACATGGGAGCACAGTTTGGGTGCTTGCTCGAAGTAGCAGCCAGAAAACTGAGCTAATTCATGGCAGAACAGTTTGTTTAGGTCAATGTAGCTAGAGAATGAATCACCCCTCCCCCGCCTCCCCTATCCGGACAAATTTGACATGACGACTGTTTGTATTTACAGTTCTCTGCATAGTAGGGCAAGGCAACGGCGAGGTCTTGAAAGACCTTCAACCTAGTACTAGGCTCTCTCGTGTACAACATTAATATGCCAGCCACGCATTGATGTGCTTTTGCCCATGTGTCTCTCAGGAGCAACAGAAGGTACTGAGCCCTCGAGGTACGTGTAATTAATCTTGCTAATGTTTTCAACTTTTCATGTCGCGCAATACAATTGGTTTTGCCCAACCAGGCCATGCACCAGCAGCCAATTTCTTTCGGACGTGGCCTGGGTGACATATGTAACCTCCGCACCCCAACACAGCCTGGCAACACAAGTCTTTCAGCAAGTTTCAGAACACTGTGATTTTTCAAAACTGGAATTTAACAGCGTTTATCTTCCGATTGTAATAAGCTCCAGGAAATCACTTCAGCGATGAGTGTGTAAAGGGTTCATAATGTGAAATTGGAATTCATCCGTTGTTTTTAGCTATGCTTCCTTGCGCTGTTGGACAGTTGTGACCTCTCTGCTTCAATAAATTCATAGTTGCGAAACTGGCTGTACATACATATTCCGTTTGCTTGGTCAAAGTTGTGTCGGCCAACACCCGAAATCTGTGGAGTTATACCGTATACCGGTATGCAAACTGAGCAAGAGTCAAATCTCCTTTTGTTAGGGATGTCAGCGAACGCACTGCGCAGGCCTCTGCGCATGCATTGCGTCATCGATTTTGTGAACGTGATCGCGGCCGACAGAGAAAACATGGCCGCGGTCTGTTTGCACCGCTGGGAGTCGTAAAATTACTGTTCTTCTGTCCCCGCGACCATTCAAATCATACGCGATACGGAGGACCCACGTACTCACCACGTTCTCCCCCGTCGATTTCTCTGAAAGTTTGCACATCGTGAAACACCAGCATGAGAGGTGTTCAGGCCAATTTTCAAGAGATTTCCCTGGTTGGATCGTTCCAAAATCGGACTTGCATTTCTCGCCCGCGGCCATTTCTTGCGCGATGGAAGCGCCCTGCCCTGGTGAGTAACCAGCATCGCGCTTGGTAGAGAGTTGCTGCAATCAGCTCCCTGATGTCTTCCCTGCCATTGTCAGAAGCGATGGACCGTGAATTTGTTTGAGAGTCTCTGGATGCTACTATTCCTCAGCGTAGTTTTCAGCCATTCCGTGCATCTTCTTCACACGATTTATTTTGCAAAAAAATGAAAGGGTTCATGAGTTTTCTTGTCGGCCGCGCGTAGATGGGCCAGGCTGACCTGCGCAGATGGGCTGCGCAGTGCGTTCGCTGATATCCCTACTTTTGTTGTTCAAAGTCTTTCGTGCGTGAGTTTGTGGGATCTTTTCTCCGTCTGTCGCTATGCGTGTTTCTTTGTGCGCACTTATGTGTGTCTACGTGTGTCTGTTTGTCTGTCTGTGCACTTTGTAGGAGCAGTTTTGTCAGCTGAGATTGATTACAGCGATGACGTACAGGACTTGGTTGTGTCTCCCAGTATCATTGCCTGCAACGCGGCATTCGCAGTTCAATCCGGTTCGCTTGTTTCGTCAAATCAAACAGAAGTACGCTCACCACGTTCCGAGGTACTGTCCACCCAGGCCAGTGGCACATAAATATACTCTCTGAAGCTGTGTTCACAACTGGTGCGTGCACGCGTTTGTGCATGCTGTTGCTGGCTTTTGGGGTGTTATGCATATGGAAATGACCCGAAATTGAAACTCCAACATGTTGTAATTTCAGCGTGTATCCGGCACGTACCATCGTACATACCAGTCACTTTGACTTGCGGGGTCAACAGATTAGTACTCAAAGGTGTCACATGCCCTGAATATTACTCAAATTGCTGGTTTTTGTGAAAGCCTGAACGCCCATTTGGCCACACATGAACTGCAAGCGTACCATGTCCGCACGCCGGTTGTGAACACAGCTTAAGTGTAGGAAATTTGTTTTGTTAAAAACCCTTTCACAGCTAAGGATTTGAATGAAGTCCCTGAGAATGAAAGGAGTCCACAGAGGGCTTATTTTTTATACCGTAAAGTCCGCTGCAAACACCCATATACGCCTACCCAAGCTGGTTCTCACTATCTTGACGAGGGAGGCCATTTTGTTGTCTTTCTCAGGTAAATTTTAAAAGTTGTATCAAGACATTTGCCATAAAAGCTGAATGAGTACGAGAACAACTGCACGCCTGCAAACTGCCTATGTCTTACCAGAAAGTCCTGCTCAAGCAATTGTCATTGACCTGCATCCAAGAAAGTACAGTATGACTACAGTCGAGATTTCTTTTCGTCCGATAAACGACTTGTCTTTGAATCAGCTCATTCGTCAGGTCAAAAACGGCGTAGAATCTACGACATGGAATTCACTTGCAGTGCTGTGAAGTCGCAAGCCGTGAACTGTGAATACCGTGGTGATTCACCAAAGATGGGATGGTTCTACGGAGCATCAGCGATTTGTCCGTTGGCAGTCGCAAGGAGAGCAGGGAGAACGACGTGATAGGAAAGGTGAAAAGAGCGTCGGCAGAAGCGACAGCTTTGGATTCACTGCTTGCTTGTTCACAACACTTAAGTGCTCGAGACAACCATAGTCTTTCTGTGTTGCGTGGGTGAGAAACAAATGATGGCTTGGAGTTCTTCAGATGTTGAAGTATTTTGTGCATTGTTTACTGTGTAGCTATTGCGAGGAAGATATTTTGAAAGCCAGTAGACTGGACATAGTTAACCATTGAAAAGCACCCTTAGTGCTACAGTGTTAGATGCACTTTCAAGTTAATCGTATACTATACCGGTCACAGTTCATGGTGTCAGTCCGTCCAGGCCTGTACATGTTGCACAGGGACGGTGGGCATTTACAGCGGACTTTATGGTACTCGCGTTCTGAGTGTATGTCACACATTGGTGCAAATTTTCTACAGACCATATTATTATGTTAAAAAATATGAAGCTATCGGAACTCAGCTAATACTAACTTGATTTTGATTAGGGATGAAACAGCTGGCCTAAATTTCTCAACCACTTGATTCAACGCTAGTGACCGATTTATATTTATTGTCAGCTTTTTCATGTTGACATCACCAAGCAACGTTGGCTAGCCTTCGCTTAAGCCAAATAGAATCAAGAAATTAGGAACGAGCTGACCATCGCATTGCCCTCATGCATGACACACAAACCCAGCTCATTATACCTGCACATACTTATTCGCCCACCCATACACCAGCCACAGAAGCGCATTGTAGGTTTCATTGTTCAAACAGGCCCGCATCGTACGCATTTTTCACGATTCTTGTACTCGACTGTATGTGAAAGCGAAATGGATTCATGTATTAAGTCTGCTTCACAGTGCATGGCCTGATCTGGCAGGACTCAGACTCTTGAAGTGTATGAACTACATGTACCCCTGGGTATTTAAACAGGAATTTTTTTAACAATTGCGCGAGTTGGTAAAGGTTTTCATCTATCGACACAACATTATCGGCTGGTCAGTCGACGTATGGAATCAGTCGCTTCGTTCCTGATGAATTACAGTCGTCCCTCTCTAATCCGGCACTTGTTTATCCAGCACCCTTGCAAACCAGCACACTTTCTGGCAAAACGGATTTTTTAAGTTCTTTTCTACGCTTTAATCAGGCACTTGAATTCCGCCACCAGCAGCGATTTTCTGCAACAAATCACTCAAACTGTACATAATTCGATTTTCTAATCCAGCAGTTGTACATCGCATACCGTCAGGGAGCATTGTAACATACACAACACATGTAACATACACTTGGGAATATCTTAAGCCAGTGCATAGGATATTCCCAAGTGTATGCTGTAGACATGCATTCCACAAAGTACTTTGAATTGACACAGAAAATCCCTACGTTTTGACGTACGACACAAACATGTATGTTAATAGGTGGGCCGGGTTGGAGGGCAGGATTTGATAATCCAGCACCCTTGTTTATCCAGCAAAAAAAATACCGTTGCAAAAGGTGCCGGATTAGAGAGGGACGACTGTATATGAATATGTTGCCCGCGCCTCCCCCTGCCCCCCCCCCCCCCCCGAAAGGCAGGACCTGGGCGTGAGATGATTGATGTATGTCTTTAGTGGGTTTCTTCTTCCTTGGGTTGTTCTCTGTGCCGCCAGGCTCTGTCCTGTGATAGCCCAAATGATTCTGATCTCGCGGCGGCAGTGGACAAGCTTGAAGAAATCTCCCTGGCCTCAGCCGATGTCCAGGTTGAATATGTAGCTCCTGATGAGATCCCTGAATACCGATATGTGTCGGAGGTGAGTTTGAAGACGTCTAGTATTCTCTCCTTCCAGCATGAGAATAGCTACTGGCAGACTGATTCTAAGTAATAAGTTATGGTGCGAGCGTGGTGCCTTGATTTTCCCTTTCCCCTTTTCATTTTCTTCTCTTCTGTTCGTGTTTTTTTGCTGGTGCTGGTGCGATTCACATGTAGATGTTGTTGGCTGCTGAAACATCCCCGGCTAGATACACTATGGTATACACTATACATTTATATTCATAAGTTTACTCAATCTGCAGACAGAACTGTTTCGTCCTTTGTGGACTCATCAGCGCAGCACAGAGGAAATGAGGCCGAACCTGGTAGCAATGAAAAATAAATTTTCCAAAGCCAGATGTAAACCAGACCCGAACGTACCTTGCCAAAGTGCTCTAACTGACAAGTCAGTGAGCTCTGCATAACACAAACAGCAAAGGCACCACTCCACGCAAGTGTGCTCAACTGCTACAAGAGCAGGAGCGAATATTCATAAGTTTACATAAGTTCCATGCATCTTATGAATTATTGCACTCCAGAATCTAGGCTTTGTGCCTAATACCTGTTCTCAGCGCCTAGAATTCAGCGTAGTTGGATACATGTATTATGTGTGCTGGATAGGAGCTGTCCTATCAGTTTGAGGGAAGAGTGTGCCTAGTATCTGTGAACGGTTTCTCTTTTTTTGTCCCAAGACTGATACGGAGCAGATACCCATTCGCCGTGAAGGTACAGTGCTTTTCATGGAAGGAGGAAAAGTTGAGTTTCTTGCCGGGACAGTGAATGAAACCCTGCACATATCACCACCTGTCCACATGATGTTCCAAGGCACGCTACCAAGCGAACATGGTGATGGAGTTACGCTACATAGTGTAAGTGTGAGCTGAGCTTAATTCATCAAAGAGAGCACACGCATCAACAATTTCAGTGTGATTGTTTTTATTGTCTCTGTTTGCATAAGTTCGGACGTGTGATGTAAAATTAGGTATCGACAGCAAGAACCGGGGTCCCAGCGATTTTCAAAATGCCAATATTTGCGGAAAACCGAACCGATGTCGTTTTTTTAGTCACCCGTGATCTAAGTGAAAAGTCTTCTTGCGCTATCGCTTGGAAAGCGCCTTCTTCTTGGTTGCTTCACTATAATTTGTCGTCGCTGCCCTCCTAGTTTGTCCGCCAGGCACTTGGAACGCTCAGGTAGACGTTTTCACCCGCCACAGAGGCGTTTGCGCTCTTGGTAGCGCCTGCAGAATCATGTGCGCCAAATCCAGCTTCCATCCAGCTGCCGTGTTCCCAATCGTACGAAAATAAATTCCGCCCGAAAAATTCCCTGCTGTGCAGTATATTATATTTTTTTCCGAATTGAAGTTTAGGCCGAGTTTCAGCCGAGTCCTTGATGTAAATGTTGTCAGAGAAGCCTCTAAAAAGAAAACTTGATTGATCAGGAATTGAAAAACACTGATGATGCACTGATGTGTTATTCAGCAACAGCAGCAACGTGAGCTGCTGGAACTTCCGGTTGAACGCCGTCGATGTTCTGTGTTCACAAGTGTGAGCAAATGATCTTTGCCATGGTGCACTAGTTGCACTTAGAAAGTATGTTGTTTGTGTTTATGGTCTTAGATCTTGACACGGAATATTTTTGTTTGGTACGATGTCTTCATTTCAATTCTGTTGATATGCTCAGGTGATGGCGTTTGGATCGCATGAAGCTAAATTTCGAAGACCAGTGCAGGTGGAAATTGATGTACCTCATATTGCTGAGACTGATCAGGTAGGTTAACCCTTTTAGTGTTACTACGTTTACTACCGTATTTTCCGGAGTATAGGCCGCACCCAAATTTTTGGTCGCTAAATGCAAACATCTACCTAGCTTATCTGCGTTAATTTGACCATGGTAGTATAAGGCACACCGACTAATTGCTGGTGAATTGCTGGTGTTCAAAGTACGGCTTATACTCCGGAAAATATGATACATGTGTGACCAGCATGCTTTGTTTGTAGTACACGCAATGTTGACATTGGTTACTGAGAGCATTGCCATTTCACTTACCAGTAACAGATTTTCATCGTCCCAGTCTCTCTGTAGAGCTGATAATCTGTCTATTCGTATTGTTCAGTGCTCGGTAGGCACAAGAGAACGTCGCAACCTGCGCAGTCCGCACACCGCCCGTGCGGACCCAGTGCACACAGAGCACATGTTCCAAAAGGGGACCGACCTCGCAGAGGTCACGGACAACACGAACACTTCGAAAGCCACTCCATCACACCTTGGCAGCACGGTTCCACACTCAGAGACACTTTCGTTTGATTCGTAGCTCATGATTAACGTACAGCAACAATTCAAACAAAGCAGCGTGCTGTCTATACTGGTTACCCCAGCAAGTGTAGGGTGTGCATAGGTAACTATCTTATCCGTTTTATGCCGATGTACTCCGTGTGGTGTAGACCAGGTGTGCATTGGTGGTCGATTTACACGGCTTCACCAGTTGTGTGGATTAGACAATTATCTGGCGCAAGTCTCGATCTGCCTCATTCAGATCTTGTTCGCTATCGTTGCTATAAGAGAACATCTGTGGGTGCACATCCAGTGCATTTGCAGATTTGCGTGCTACTCTTGCGACAGGCGTTTACATGGTACATGGTACATGGTGTGTGTGTGTGTGTGTGTGTGTGTGTGTGTGTGTCTGTGTGTGTGTGTGTGTGTGTCTGTGTGTCTGTATGTTTCATTACAGTGGTTTTGAGGACATGTGTGTATGGGTGTATTTGCGTTCACATGCGCATGTGTGTGTGTTTGAGAGAGACCGTTTGTGTGTGTGCATGTGTATGCACATACGTACATGTGTTGGCACATTTGTGCTTGTTCATGTTGCCTACAACATACTCTGTTGTATTGTGCTTTCATTTGATAGATCTATCTTGTTCATTTTCCTGGCAAAACGTCAGAGTCAGCTGAAGATAGTGGTTCTGGTGAAAGTACACAGCTACCCACGTCGCGTAAGTGCTGCACCGTGGTTCATGTAGGCAACTCAACTTGGACAGTGACCAAGTTACCTGACGGCGAACCTTACGAAATACCGGCCAAGCAGGTTGACCGGAATGCCACCTTGGACAGACCTGAAGAAGACGAATGCCCATATTCAGGTATCACTGTGGACTATCAACAGAAGAAGATCTGCTACAGCAAGAAGCACTTCTGCCATGATGGTGAGTCTTGACTATTGTTTTCAATGGACATGTCGTGGCCTGGTTTGTGATAAAGATTGATCAGTCTAGTGGCTACACAGGTAGACGACCGATATAGTCGCCACCCAAGTTAGCTAGTTGCGAGTAGCCAGTTCAGACAGAGCAACAGGTTTCCAATTCCACTTCATACAATGTTTATCGGAAACAACGCACGTTTGATCGAGAGATCAAGTGTGAAGAGTCAGAGACCCACAGAAAGAGAGAGTGTTGCCGCTCCAAGAATGAGAGAATGAACTGCCAGAAATCGAGGATGAAGGCTACCAGAAAGGCCCCTTATACTTCGTATACAACACATGATGTGATCAAGTAGGTAACAAAAATGGGCATGTAATATTGCTCATTTCAAATAGTGATGCAATGAGCCAAATGAGATAAATAGTACAACGAACAATACCCGCCGGCGCCCAACCAAATGTGGATATCAATCATCTCCATTGTGCTGGTCTTGGTCCAGTGGGCTGGGTTGCATTGCAGAAGGCGGGTAGCTGTGATGCTCTTGCGGCTTCGTTGTAGCTTCGCCCAATATGGGCTCTTCTCCCAAACGTGCACAGACGGCAGAGCCGCTTTCCCTCCAAAAGGGTACGGCATTCACAACATGACATTAGAGAGGTTCCGGGGTTCGATTTTCCGTGCCAAAATCCGTATGGGTGCTAAGGATTTTTTCAAATAGTGATGCAATGAGCCAAATGAGATAAATAGTACAACGAACAATACCCGCCGGCGCCCAACCAAATGTGGATATCAATCATCTCCATTGTGCTGGTCTTGGTCCAGTGGGCTGGGTTGCATTGCAGAAGGCGGGTAGCTGTGATGCTCTTGCGGCTTCGTTGTAGCTTCGCCCAATATGGGCTCTTCTCCCAAACGTGCACAGACGGCAGAGCCGCTTTCCCTCCAAAAGGGTACGGCATTCACAACATGACATTAGAGAGGTTCCGGGGTTCGATTTTCCGTGCCAAAATCCGTATGGGTGCTAAGGATTTTTTCAAGGCGTGCCCCATACGATTTTTCGGCACGGAGAATCTGTGTGGACTGGTTTTCATACGAACCATGTTTGGTATGGAGATTTTGCGTCATCGGGTGCAGAAAGATTTTTCGCGTACAAATTTGGTACGAGAAACATCGATTTTCAGCGGGAAGTTTTGATTTCGGTACAATTTTTCAAAATATAGTGGCATAGCGCGGGATGTGACGTGTTTGCGATCGTAACCAAAGCAAAGACGGCAAACACCTAAGTTCCGTACTCCGGAACATTTCACTGCTCAAAAACGGCGTATAAAAAATCCGTAGCGCCTCTACGGATTTTGGCATGAAAAATCATACTCCGGAACCTCTCTACTGTGAACTCTTTACGTCATACAGGTACGGCATGAAAAAGGGTTTTCGCCTAAAGCTCAAAAAGGTTTAGTGAGTACAGCGGTGCTGACTATACTGAAGGTGCCGTCGTACAACACCGCTTGGTGGCCTCTGCCAGGAGTTTTAAGCCATGATTGCTCAACTAACGAAAGTGCCAGATCCCTCTCAGGACAAGTCATGGTTCTTACAGAACTCCAGAATATTTTGGAATCCAGCTTCTGACTTGCTGAAAGCTCAGTGCATAGTCGTTTTCGCAACGAGTCTGACTCAGGGCATGACAGACATAGCGAAAATGTGCACAAGCTAAGTCCCACGGCAACAAAGAATGCCGACTGTTACAGGACGATGACGAGACCAGTTAATAACATGACAATGCAGTCTAACTACAATTCGAAGCAGCAAAGCAACAACCCACGCAACTTGAGTGGGTCAGCAATATCAGGTTTAGTGACCGATCGAATATAGCGACATTTTGTTTTCTCCCGAAGGAGTGTCCTTATGTCCAATCTCCACTGTGCTAGTATCGGCCCAGACAGATTCTGCTCCGCTCGCCTCGATATCTTGCTGCAAAGTCATCGATATTTTGCTGAGCCTTGCACTACCATCTAGAAACTCGATATTCTGCTCCAATTTGTTCCGGAAACGGGTATTTTACCCACTTCTCGTGCAACGTTTTATAAAAATCAACACGGGTTTTCAACATCAACACGGGTTTTCACACAGCTGTGTCCGGGTCCTTCCACAATCATGGTGATCCACAGTGAATCCCAGTGATATCTTCAGTGAAATGATCTTGCCCTGTGCGATGTATCGTGCTGAGTAGCCCTAGGCGGATTGTGCTGGCATAATTTCTGACGTAATCTTCAGATGTTGTCCAAAAGTTATGCCCTGGCATAAAAGGACTTCTGAGACCAGACGGTCGGCATAACCTTACGATTCTGGCGGAAGATTAATGCTCCAGGCATATTTATGCATGTTACAGGAAATAACTAGGTAAATGTTACCTCTTATAAGCCGTGCTGTCATAGGGCCAGAGTCGTTGTAACGTTGCAAAGTGCAGCAAGAGTACAAGGGCACCATCATTGCCATAATTCCAGCATAATGTAGCATAATCACTGGCATAATTTGGACATAATGGAAAGCATAATCCCGCCATTTTACCAAGCATAAGCGATATAGAGGAGAGATAAAGTGTTTTCTGATGATCGCTTAGTGCGTGAAACTCTGAGTAAAAACACTTCCTCTGTCCTCCTATTGTTTGAACCAGCTCTACCACTCGGTATTGAGCACTCTCTTGGACAGCCTGGAACCTCTCTGTTTTAAAGTGTACAATATAGTTTTCATCTTTAAAAAATCCAGCCTAGACCGTTCTTAAAAGAATGGTGAAATCCTAGCGTAGCCGTTTTCCTGCCCTCGACAGTACTGTATTACTGAGAGCACATGACCACACACACCCCTTGCCGAAATCGTTCTACTGTCGTGGACATGGAAATCCGGTCGATTGACAGAGGCCGGCGCCCTCAGGGCGTACTGAACGCTGCGTGCAGTGCACGTGCAGTGCACGTATTGATCCGATGCGACCAGCGCGCTGCAGCGCATAAATGCATGTGTATACCGCTTATCCACGGCTGCATGGCCCAGGGCCTGCTGGAGAGCCGGGTCAGCCGGGTCACGCGCCCGGCTGGGGAACTGCACGACCTGGCTGAACAGATAACACAGGGTCCAGTCTGACCCGGCTGAAAAATGTCTCAAACTGACAATGGACTCCTAAAATACCGGTATTTTACGACTCGCGGACCCCATCTGTTGCAAATCTAGCGCAACCGTCTACACACTACAGTCTACAAGCGACAGAAACTCGGCTAGGGAGTAGGGTCAACTGGGGCAGGCAGTCAAAAACGTAACTAATGTGTTACTTTGGCTATAGCTTTTGACACAGTTGCAAGTTTTGAGCAGGCTTTTTGGTTGTTTTTCTGCCGGATGATCTGACCCAGCTTGACCCGGCTGGCCTGCATGCGCCAGGTACACTCTGATCGGGCTGTGTTGAATGTCTAGAGCAGGCCCTGTGGCCAGCGCCCTGGGATCACTAGACGTGCGACCGGATTCCCATGTCCACAACAGTATTAGTACAGTCGTCGCCAAAAAAATCCGGCCAAATGCAATGCTAGCTACCGGTAGCTGTACTGGGCCGCATGCACTGTATCATCGTGGTAGTGGTACTAGACCGGGTACGGGTCTACATGTAGTGCAGTTACTTCATTGACATTGTTGACAGGATAGGCGCTAGGCCCGCATAGCGGCATACACCATGTAGAGGCGACGGTTCGATACCGGAACGCCTTGACAGCCAAATTTGTATAGGCCCAAACCGATCATCAGCGTTGATTGTTCACTCGAAATATGTTTGTGGAAGGAAACTGGCATGTTGAAGTTTGATCTGATGTCAGAGTCGATTGAACTGAGCCACTCCTTTGTGGTGACCCATTGCCTCCAAGTTGCCCAATTTTTCGCTTCGAATCAGAGGTGGCTCCAAACCGGAAAGGTTTTTGAGTGCACATCAAATTCACTCTTAGTCTGAAATTAGGTAATTGCTATCGCTCCACGACGGCCAGTACAGAGTAACAATAAGCCTTGCGTGTGCTTCCATTAGTTTTGATCGGTATGCGGTGCTTAATTGGCGAGAGGTGAGCCGCTGTTTACCTGGGACAAGAAGTTGATTTTTCGAAAGTCGTAAAACTCAAGTCGCAGTGCGAAGCAGCAGGTCAAAACTCACCTGCTTGGTATGGCGCTTCTGGTCATCGCAGAGCCATGACATTTTGGCTCGGAGTATAACACAACGTAGTCTCACTGTGACATATGTTTTCTAATCAAAATACCAAGAGAGAATGTGAATATTGAGTCCGTTCCGGTTTGCAACCTACCGCTGTGTCCTATTTGAAACCGTCGCCTTGGCCTTCTACACTCACTCAGACTCAGCGCAGCGCTCAACCCGACTGCAGCAGGCAGAGTGCGGCGCAGACTGTTCAGTGCTGTCCAGCGGCATGCAGTGGCCTTAGTAGACTAGTGCACGTATGGTGCCACTCCAGTACATGAACCCGCGATGAAGTACCGCGTACCTACCATACCTATAGTATGTACATGTACGTGTATCCTTGGCATTGGCCGGATTTTTTTGGCGACGACTGTATTAGGGAGGTTCCGGGGTACGATTTTCCGTACCAAAATCCGTATGAACGCTACGGATTTTTCGAGGCGTGCTCTATACGATTTTTCGGCACGGAGAATCCGTGTGGACTGGCCTTCATACGAACCATGTTTCGTATGGAGATTTTCGTCATCGAGTGCAAAAAGATTATTCACGTACAAATTTGATTCGAGAAACATCGATTTTCCGCGGGAAGTTTTAATTTTCGGTATAAATTTTCAAAATATAAAGGTATAGCGCGGGAATATGACGTGTCTGTCTGTCTGTCTGTCTGTCTGTCTGTCTGTCTGTCTGTCTGTCTGTCTGTCTATCTGTCTGTCTCTATCAATCTTATCTGGGCCTTAACCAGCGAAAACAGCCCTTAGGGTCAACATTTTCAAAATTCCTTTTCGGTTAGAAATTTGTTGAAACATATCTACTGAAGGACCTCAGCCAATAAAAAGTCCAACATTCCGATTCAAACCGGGTCTATACACCAATATACAATATGTACTCCAAATTGGTGCAACGTATGTATACGATGTATGTGTGCAATGAATATTCAGCATCCTGCCTGCCTGCCTGCCTGCCTGCCTGCCTGCCTGCCTGCCTGCCTGCCTGCCTGCCTGCCTGCCTGCCTGCCTGCCTGCCTGCCTGTCTGTTTGTCTATCTATCTACCTATCTGGCTGTCTATCATCTTGTGTTCCTACTCTCTCCCCGTTTATTGCAGAAATTTGGACGAGCATTTCTGCAATGAGTGAAGCGGAACGCAAGAGACTCGCAGATATGGATGATCAGGCGGTGTGCTGGCTTTGGGTTTATGCGGAGAAAGACGTGGAGACAGACTATAACTATGCCTACTTATCTGTGATGGTCCGTCCTCGCTGTTGGAAATTTCGCGAGCCGCTTAAAGTCCCGCCCTTTGATTGTGAGCCGCTGCGTGACATGCATGTTGTAGCGCACGCATTGGACAAACGCCTGATAAGCCGCACACGCGATCATCTGTCCTACACGTTCTGGATCAGGAGCGGTCCTGGCTGGGCAGAGCAGCGAAAGGAAATTGATAAACAGCAATGCAACAGCGAAGCATTTGTTACCTTTCACTCAGAAAGTGCCGCGTCTTGCCGCGCCAGGGTCGGTCCACGTGTTGATGTCAAGTGCCGTCTGCACCGTAAGTCTGTTCCAGTCGCTCAAAAAGCACTCGGAACGAATGGACATTCCCACGCTGCCACATCTGGAGAGGCTCGAAAGAAAGAGGAGTTTGCCTGCCAGGACCAGACCATTACTATTGGATTTCTTTACAAGAGTAAAGCGGTTTCAAGTAAGGCGCTGCCATAAATGTGCATTTTAACTGCATTGTGTCTGCATTTGGGGCTTGTCAAATGTGCTCAGCCGCGAGTAAGATTCTCTTTCTGGGGTCAGACCACCGCATCCAACACATTCCACCCAATTCACAATGCAAAAGAGGGATTTGGTAGTATAGCCAGACCTCAATTAATGGCTCACATCTGTGTCAGGGTTCTAGCCAGGTCAAAATAGTCAGGGGGGGGGGGGGGGAAACAGTTACCCCGTAACCCATTGTTCTATTTTCAAAATAACTGTCTTGCAATGCCAAATGCAAAGTACAGGACGAACACCTGACTTCACCCCAGACAAATGTGCCTTTATGAACCCTCTAGTACTGACTATCGACTGTATTTTCGTTGAATGGCATGAAAAACACAAAAATCGGAAAATGAGCAGGGGCACTTTTTCACGGGGGGGGGGGAGGGAGGGCACAAGCAGAGTAAGGGGGGGGGGGGTGGGGCGCTACGCCCCCTACTCCGCGGTTCTGGCTTCTGCATGCCACATGGAAACCGGATCGGACGAAGCTTTTCGTACACATTTGAATGTGTTTGTTCTCAAACCATGCACCCGTAAGCAAATCGCAGGGTCCGGTTATGTTCTTTTGCGCCATGTATACCTTGCATCGTTACTAGCAACTGCCTTCCGGACACCGAGGAATCTTGATATGTATGTATGTATGTATGTATAACTCATAATCACAAGGTGATCGTAGAGGCATTAATCAGCGAGAGAATTGTGAATGATGTCTCTGAATCCAACTCTATCGTGTGCTGCATGAGAGAGAGCATGCAAGGGAAGACCCGTCCAACTTTTAATGTTAGAAATCCATGATGTTGCGGGCCTTCCTCTCGGTCGAGATCCGAGAGGAAGGCCCGCAATCTTGATATAAGAGGTCTGAATGTATGTTACAACAGTACCAGTCCATGATGGAACGTCGATTTTCAAGTGGGGCCAAAAGAAAGACTTCGGTTCTCGTATTTACACAACGAGCAAAACTGGGCGAATTGCGAATTATGTGTTCCCAAAGTGATCCAGGTTGATGGCTCACTTCATGAATAGCTCTGCGAGAAAGAGAAACTGGAACAATGGAGCATTAATTGCCGTATTCGCATGTGCTTATCGCGGGTTAGGCAAAACCTGCATGGGCATTCGGGTAGAACTTCTTTGGCATCAGTTGTTCATGTCAATGTCAGTGTGTCAGCTGGTAAATTATGTAAAAGTCTCTCTGTGCTAGCTGAAAATGAGTGAATGCTTGTCATTCATATTCTAACGTGGCTAAAGCATGTGTGCTTCTGCGGGAGGGAGTACAGTGCACTGTATGTTTGTGCCATTTTCAATTGTCTTGTCTTCTCAAACGTGGAAGGTGTTTTGTGTTTACTGGTGTAGTGCCTGACCAAGGAGCCCCCCGCCTGCCAATCTCCGAAGCATCTGCTGCGACGAGACTCTCTAACGGATGTGCTACTAGTACTAGTCCCGACATGCTCGGTGAGTGCCTCACAACCCATTGTACATGGCAATGTTGCAAGGATCTTTAACATTTTCACTGCTGATCCTGTACTGGATTCTAGATGACGCCCAGGCTCTGAACAATTTGGTGCCTCATTTACATGGCCACTGATGCTGCCCCGAAAAAGCAAATAATACTAAATTGGCCACACCGAAAACGTCTTTTGTTTGGGGTAACATGGCCAGAAATATACCAGTCGGTCGGTCGGCTTTCATTTTTTTGCTGATATTTTTTTACCCATGCCAAATCTGGTATGCACATGTGTACAATACACAGCCCGGATACAAAATGTGTGGTCGATAAAGCAGGCGTTCTAGTACGTATACATATACATAGCATTCTCGATCAAAGCTTCAGCAGATCGCCAGGAACTGTCAAACTGGACTGTGGTCACACTCAGACACCGAGCAGAGAAGAGCTCTGAGATGTTGCACATCAACACACGGTTCAGCGATCGTTGCAGGCCAAGAACTACGGCTTCCTGTTGCTCCAACGTAAAGAAAAGAATCGGCGTCCGAACTCCAAATGAAGTTCAACATTATTTTATGGGCTTCCTGGAAAGGTCTCTGCGGGAGGAAGAGAATGAGGTTAACCATGATAGCCAGGACACTTTATCTCCAAAGCTAAAGAGCAGCGACGGTACGAAAAATGCATCCTAATACGTCCTGCTCCAGGGATTTCATTTTTCTTAGTTTCACGTTGGAATGCGTCGTTTTTGATGCATTCGAGTATGGGGCGGCTTTTACCGATTATACAGACAAACTCCAAACAGAACTTTTCTCTTTTTTTTTACTCCCGTGCAGACCCTTTCGAATCGGACAAGTTTGTCACCACGCTTCAGCCATGGATTAAGAAGCTGGACGCAACTGGACTTGCAAAGGCAATACAGGCACTGGGAATGTTAACAATGGATCAGGTGACTCGACTCAATGATATAAAGAAGAAGGACGGAGGACAAGCTCATAACGCGGAGTTGCTGGAGATGATTCTTGGTGAGGAACTCGACGGATTCGTGAAGCTATTCAAAGCAATCAAGGCCGTCACCAATAACACTGGCAAGGTAGAACTGATGAAGTCACTCATTCCTGACGGACACATGTAAGAAGAGATGTCATAATAATTATTGTAGTTTTTTCATCCAGGATATTTTCGAATAGACCGGCTAAAACAGGCGCTTATCATGATTCATGTATATATTTATGATAACTGTACAAGTCTTGGTACTAGACTATCGACTGACACCGAATGCACGAACCCGCAGAAAAACGAATGGGGCACCGTGCACGCCTGGACACTGCAGGCTGTTCCAGCTGATATAATGGTGACCCGTTTCAGTACCCTTCTTCACACGTGCACTACGAGGCTTCATGCTGCGAAGTTTCGAGAAATCTTTGGAGCTGCCACATCTGGTTTTAGGCAAGGCTTCTATTCTTCATTGTACATAACTAGTCCATCATGTTTACATGATAGTGGAGTTCAGTAGAATGTTGGCGTTTTGTTCAGTAGGATGTTGGCGTTTCGGTTTGTCACAATTTGCCGTCGCTTAGCTTCCCCTTTCTATGTTTATTACATAAACGTTAGCCTCCCAAGTTGGGTGGTCTGTTGATTTGCGTCGTCGAGTTGTAGTGAAGCCGGTATGTCCAATAGTCTTACTAGTTTTGTCATTATCCAGTAGCTTTCGGCATTCTTTTTCGCCGTGGGGCGTGGCTCGTGCTCTTCTTCGTTGCGCTTTCCTTCCCCTCTTGGACCTTTCCGAACCGAGCCTTCCAAGTTGGAAGGTTGCTGGTTTGCGCCTTGGAGAAGTGTTGGAGCTAAGTGTCAGATCGCTAAACATCTCAGTACTCGTTGTCAGTGTTGTGCCGTTTTGTCGCACTCACTGACTGTATATGATCTGGTTACGTTGGTGGACAGTTATTCATCAGTCAGAACATTTTGTCCTTCTCCTTTTCACCATATTTGTAGTGTGGCAACAATATACACTAATATACAGTCAAAGGACATACATTTAATATGGGTTGTTGTCTTAACTAACTTGTTGATGACCTACCTAACAGCGTAACTGTGAATGTAAGCTGCTTCTGTTCGCAGTAGATCGGTTTCTTTGTATTAATCTATTGCTCTGTTTTGATTTCTCTGCAGGGAGTGTCAGCAGTGAATACAATGGCGGACTCACCTAAGGTTAGACGGCCAACCGCCGTGCCTAGCTGCTGCAATTGCAGTTACGATATTCTCTTTATTCCCTGCTATGTTTCATCTATCCAGTTGCAATGCTCGCCTGTGAAGGAGGCGTTTTACGATTCCGTGATGGGTATTCATCTGTTTGCTTTGCAGTCCAAGACTGGTTGTGTAGCAACCTCACAGTCACTCACCAATACACTGTGCGTGTACTTGAAACTGTGATTCTGCAGTTGCCATGGCAATAACATTGGTCACTACATTCACCTGAGTCACATTGCAAACCTACACCCGAAATAATTTTTACGTACAAGCGCACTTGATTCTTTGATCCTTTCCCGAGATGACATGCAGACTTGATCCGGTGGACCTTTCCTCTTTCAGGTCGTCACCTTTCACTGTTTGAGACTGGCAGACTCAACTGAGCATCAATATGCTGTGTTCTATTTTCTGTATTCTTAGATATCTGCACTTCTCTCATAGCCCTCTAGGACATTTGGCTTCATCGTTGATGTGTGTACGCCCGTGTGAGTGTGTGCGTGCGCGTGTGTGTGTGTGTGTGTGTGTGTGTGTATGTGTGTGTGTGTGTGTACGCAGCAGCACTGCCGGAGTCGGTTTTCGACAGTGATGACTTCAGCATCGCCATGAAACGCATTGTGTATGGAGTGACTGTCCTGGCGGTCCTTCTTTATGGATCTGAGAGTTGGACCGTCAGGCAGCGTGATGTCCGTCGCCTGGAGTCCTTTCACCTGCAGTGTGTGCGCTCCATCCTGAAGATAAATCGTGGCCGGCAGATCGAGGAGCACATCTCCTCTCTCCAGGTTCGCGGGATGTGGGGCGATATGGAGGAGATCGCGGATAAAGTCAGAGTCCGCCGACTTCGATGGCTTGGCAACGTGTCCCGCATGCAAGATCGGATCCCTCGTCAGCTACTGTACGGCGCGTTACCCTCCAAACGTCCACCGCATGGACCCCGTAAGCGCTGGAAGGACCCCGCGAAGTGCGACTTGATGGCTGTTGGCGTTCCTCTGGAGCAGCTCGGTGACATCGTCCAAGATCGACAGGGATGGTGGGTCACCTGCCGTGACGCTGTCGACGCTATTGTCCAGCCCCGCATGGAGCCTGTGGCGAAGCCCCTCATTTGTGGCACTTGTGCGCGCAGTTTTCGTCGGCCACAGGATATTGCGAGGCACAAGTGTAACGCTGTTCGCGCTGCCCGCACGCGCTGAGTATGTTGTTCCCCGCCCGGTGGACTACACGTCTCCTGGTCTGCCCCGTATGGGGCCCGTGACATAGCCAGTCATGGCAGTGGAAGAAGGAAGGAAGGTGTGTGTACGTGCACACACGCATATTAAGTGTGTGTGTGTGCGTGTGTATGTGTATGTGTGCGTGTGTGTATGCGTGTGTGTGTGTGTGTGTGTGTGTGTGTGTGTGTGTGTGTGTGTGTGTGTGTGTGTGTGTGTGTGTGTGTGTGTGTGTGCGTATGTGTGTATGTGTGTATGTTTGCCCGGCCCGCGCCTGTGCACGCATGTTTAGTAAGAGAGAGGCTAGCTTTCCCCAGCTGTTTTGAGCTCCGTTTTTTTCTTTTTTTAAAGATCACAACACGTTGGAGGATGAATGTGCTCCCCTTCCACCCCCCCCCCCCCCACCCCACACACGCACTATGGTCCCTAAATTCCTGGCAGATTTGTATTTTTTCTAATGCTTTCTCCTCGATACCAGACATTGTCTTGTACGCTAAAGAATTACTACTTCATGTAGTACTAGTACTAGTAATGACCGGCAGACTCAGTGCCCAGACCTTACGGTGATCTTGATCTTGTGTGTGCTTGTGTCTGACCATGGAGTAGTAAAATTCTGTTGTTTTACTACTCCCTGTCTGACTTTGCTTGACCTGCTTTTGGGCTGATTTACGGCATCCTGGGACCCATGAGAATTTCCCAGATTGTACGTCTTGCCTCTTGGTCCCTTGGTTGTATCAGACTGTGTTTGGGTGCATGCCGAAAGCGGATCGAGTGAGAGCATTTCGCGCATGCTTTGACATGTCGGGACACGTTATGGGTAGCGAGTAGTACGGAGTTGTTATCAGGCAGCTCATATCCCGTGAGAAGGATGTTGAACACTCCGGCACAGCACTTGACTGTGAACCGAGAAGTCAACACCCCCCCCCCCCTCGCGGTCGCACATCTGACTGCAAAATAAACCATGGCACAGCTCACTATGGGTATGCGTATGGGTCATCGTCATTCGTCACTGAACAGTTGAGTCGATTGAGCCACACTGTAGCTACAGTACAGTGCTGGCAACTGAAATCCAGGGGGTCGGATTTCAGTTGCCAGCACTGTACTGTACATGTAGCTGTACTCCCGGTGCCCAGGCCAGAGGCGGGTTCGCACCCCTGCAGCCAGGGCAACTTCCCCATTACATGTGTCAACCCCCAAGGCCAAGACACAGTCCATGCAGCGATACTGGTCGCAATTAAAAAAATCCTGATCACGGCTCCAGGCCGAATAGAAAATTTGGTTGAGATTACTGTAAAAGCAGAAATTTTTGGTGGTGTTTTATTTTCGGTAACTTCGGTGCCGACAATTTTTACCGGAAATAAAACGCACCGAAATTTTCGGTACAACCGATACTGTATACATGTAGTACTACTAGTACACCTACCTGGAGAACCGGTTTTACCGAAAATTTCCCGCTACCGAACCGCCGATTTTGGCGAATACCGATAATATTACACCACCGAAAATTTCTGCTTTTACAGTATAGAGATTTGCCGCAAAGACTTTTAAAAAGAGACCGCTTGCTTTTGGTAGGGATATCAGCGAACGCACTGCGCAGCCCATCTGCGCAGGTCAGCCTGGCCCATCTATATCTACGCGCGGCCGACAAGAAAACTCATGAACCCTTTCATTTTTTTGCAAAATAAATCGTGCGAAGAAGATGCACGGAATGGCTGAAAACTAGGCTGAGGAAAAGTAGCATCCAGAGACTCTCAAACAAATTCAGGGTCCATCGCTTCTGACAATGGCAGCGAAGACATCAGGGAGCTGATTGCAGCAACTCTCTACCAAGCGCGACGCTGGTTACTCACCAGGGCAGAGCGCTTCCATCGCGCAAGAAATGGCCGCGAGCGAGAAATGCAAGTCGGATTTTGGAACGATCCAACCAGGGTAATCCCTTGAAAATTGGCCTGAACACCTCTCATACTACCGGTACTAGGTGTTTCACGATGTGCAAACTTTCAGAGAAATCGACCCGGGGAGAACGTGGTGAGCTCGTGGGTCCTCCTGTATCCGGCCTTATACTGTACTGAGCTTGTATACAAACTCCCATCTCTCCCCACACAACACTCCAGACTTGTATTTTGCATATAACAGGTACTTCGATGACGAGAATATAAACTGGTATATAAACTGGTATATAAACTGGTGTATAAACTGGTGTATAAACCGGTATATAAACTCCTTTTTTTTTAGGATCACACTAGGGGAGTTTGTATATCAGCTCAGTATAAGCATAATATAACCTACTCAGTTGAATATGGGAAATATAAACCAATATACAAACCTCGGCTTCGCCTCGGTTTGTATACAGGTTTATATTTCCCATATAATCAACTGGTTAGATTATTATATACTTATACTGAGCTTGTATACAAACTCCCATCTCTCCCCACACAACACTCCAGACTTGTATTTTGCATATACTGTAAATATACAAAAATTCGGCGCTGCAAAATTTCGGCACTTCACGATTTTTGACATTTCGGCGGCGATTTATTTTCGGCGTAGGGTATAGAGGGCATGATAGTAGTGCGACAGATGCGGTGAAAAATTTCATCTGCGTTTTAATTTAGGCGTTTTGAGTCGGTGCCGAATATAGCCGAAATTAAATAGCTGCCGAAAATTTGTATATTTACAGTAACAGGTACTTCGATGACGAGAATATAAACTGGTATATAAACTGGTGTATAAACTGGTATATAAACTCCTTTTTTTTTTAGGATCACACTAGGGGAGTTTGTATATCAGCTCAGTATAAGCATAATATAACCTACTCAGTTGAATATGGGAAATATAAACCAATATACAAACCTCGGCTTCGCCTCGGTTTGTATACAGGTTTATATTTCCCATATAATCAACTGGTTAGGTTAAAAATTGGTTGTGAGCAACACTGGCTCACACTCAAATAACTGCTTTTCACCAGAAAAATATTATATTTCAACGTTTCGGTCATGAAATAACCATCATCAGGAATGAAGTGGGCACACCGGTTAGGATGGGTTAATATACGAGGAGCGCTGCAAACTGATAACAAATCACACCTGCATGCACTATGACGAGAGAGAGAACAAAAGGACAAAACATCACCAAAAAAAACCCCAGGTATAGAAATAACGCAATACGCGACAACTCTAAAAATGGCACAGGTACAAGCAACAAACAGAATGTACATGATTGTGCACTAGGTGCGTGCAGACATGTAATAGGGCTTGAAAGTGCTACGTCACTCCATAGCAATGGCATAGCAACAATTTGAAAAATTCGAAAACTGGATCCACCTGGATCCAGTTTTTGTATGGATCCAAGCACATTTCAAGCGGTCTCACTCACAGCAAGGTGATGTTGCCAGTGAAACTGACTGATTTGGCTAGTGGGGGCGGGGTGACAACTGGTGGCAAAGTAAAAGTTGCACCTGCATACGACATGAGTGGGTTGCTATGCACCCACATACTGAGGCAATAGCAAAGTCACACCTTAGTGGATCCAAAATAGAAATCTGACGTCAATTTACTACTCCCAGGCCGTTTTTGACGTCATCACTTTCAAGCCCTATTGCAGGCGCTAGCAACAACAGTAGTAGTAACAGTGCACTAGTTCAAGGGGTGCTAAACCACCACCATCCAGGAAGAGCGAGTATCAGGGCCAGAAATATGTACAAGGCTTCACCAGAGAATTCACAGGAGGTCCCACCCTGCGTTATTGTTTATGCTGGGGCTCGTGTCGCGAATTTGTATTGCTTCGCGTATTCTCCTCCTGGCCCGATCCGACTCAGTGGCAAGGACGCGAACCTCTGTGAATGCCGACTCGCCAAGCGGCAGTACCTCGTCGCCATGGTGAAGTCGGTAGTGCTCGCCCAGGGCTTTTCCAGACGTCTTGTTGCGTGAGTTATCATTGTGTTCTTTTGTTCGCGTTGCTACACTGCGGCCAGTCTCTCCAACATACTTCTCCGAGCACTTGCAGGTCAGACGATAAACCACGTTGCGTCTTGTGCATTCTACCTCGCTCGATTGGCATGCAACGCAGGCGGCTTTAGGCCTTCCTCGTCGCCTCGGGGCAGCGGGATCCACCCACTTACGGCAGCAAGGTCCAGTGAGGCTGGACTTAGTGACGCTGTTGGAAAGCCTTGCATTCTTGTAGATTATCTGTACATTTAGATTGTATTTGTTTAGAAGACGGTGGACCCTGTAGTGGATGGCATCCGTTTTGAATGGTAACTTCAACGTGGATCGATAGTCTTTCTTTTGTTTAGCAGGTCGTCTGGCTCGTTCATGAGCAGTCGCGATCACTTTGTCAGGAAAGTTGTTGAATTTTAATGTGTCAATAACCTTTTGCTCACTTCGCTGGCGGGCTGCAGGATCAGAGGAAAGGCGGGCCGCGCGGAGGAATTCCGAAGACGCGATGGCGAGTTTTTGCTGTTGCGGAACGCACGAGTTGAAGTCTGAGACGAGGCCACTGTGGCAAGCTTTGCGGAACAGCTCGAATGATATTGCGCCCTCGGAGGAGACATGAATAGTCGTGTCCATAAAGTCAACCGACCCAGTTTCCTCCGAAGATTGATACGTGAACTTGATGCTCGCATTGGCGGTATTGAAGAATGCAATCAGCTGGCGGAGAAGCGCGACCCCCAGTGTCCACAGCATAATGATGTCATCAATATAACGCTTGTAGAGTACGGGAGCACCAGGCGAGTTTAGCAACAGCGAGGTTTCGAGGTCATGCATGAAGATAATCGCAAACGGGGGCGCTAGGTTGTTACCCATGGCGATGCCTTCCCTCTGGTGGTAGACCTTCTCACCAAATCTGAAATAATTGGATCTTAGAACGAAGGTTAACAGCTCTTCGATCTGCTCCACGCTTAAACCAAATGTGTCAACAGACTCGATGTGCTGCTGCAGGACTCTAGCAACCGCCTGCTAGGTACCGGCGGATTATGCCGGCAGAAAAATTGGCGGAATTCGGTACTTTTTCTGGTAAGTTTCATGCATGTTTGGTATGTGGATAAAGAAATGGAGCAGAATTCGAGGAATTGCCCGCCATACGGTTTGTATGGTTCTGCAAATTTCACTACTTTTCGAGCAGAATCCGCCGGTGCCTACCGCCTGCACCCCTTCAGCGATAGGGATACTTGGGTAAAGAGCGACCACGTCCATCGTAACGATGATGGTCCCCGCTGGGGCTTGTAGGTCGGGATACACTTGCCGGATATCCTCCAGTGCTTCCAGCGTGTTTTTCAGATGTGCTGGGACATACTTCAGGCATTGGTTGAGTATACGCTCCAGGACAATAGAAATATTGGTCACCGGGCTATCAACAGCTGACACAACTGGCCGAAGCGGTACCGTGGCTTTGTGGTCTTTAGGTAGGCCATACATCTCCGGAAACCTGTTGTCGCCAGGGAGTATGGCTTGGTACAGGTCCTTCTCTAGTGTACCACCACAGACGCGTTGAAGGATGGTGCGCGTTTGCTTCTCCCAATCATCGATGGTGACATTGACGGGTGTGAACTTTGTCCCATC